ATAGCTATACATCATTTATAGGTTTGTAATCCTCCCAATTTTGTACAAATAAAATAGATGATATGATTTTTTTTACCCATATCCATAACAGCTTGTATCTGAATCACACTTTTTATTAATGATTCATATACATAATACATACTTAATAGCAGTTGTATTAAACAAATCACCTTTTAAAATAAGACAAATCTTTTTTTTTTGTAAAAATGACAATTAAAAAAAAACTGATGTTTATTATGATAAAAAAAAACTAACAAACACTTTATAAATACTTACTGGTGATGAGAAGTAAGATCCTCTGATAGAAGTAGCAATACAGATTAAAACATACAGTGCTTTTTGTGTTGTGATTCTACATGCTTTTAACACAGATGGAGACTTTATTCTTCTGTATTCTGATTTCACACAGAGCAGCTAAAAAAAAAAGAAAATCAAAATGTACCAAATATTATCATAAACCTGACACAAAACAGAAGAAAGAGAAGAACACCAAGACAGGAGTACAGGTAAAATTTTGAAACTTGTTTGTTAGTTTTAGATACTTGTGTAAAGCTACAAGGGCTATTTATGCTAGTTATCCCTAATTTGGAACTGATAAAACTAAATGGAAGGCAGCTACAATCAACAGCACCCACTAATAACTCTTATATATGCAACTATGACTCCAACAACACCCACTAATAACTCATATGTGCAACTGTGACTCCAACAGCACTCAATAATAACTCTTATATATGTAACTGTAACTCCAACAGCACTCATTAATAACTCTTATTAATGCAACTATGACACGAAAGTACAAAAACAGGAGGCAACAGGATGCAAACTATGTGTCCTTGGATCCACTGTCCGGCATGCTAACCACAATGCCACACCAAGTATACAACTCTTTTGAAGTGGGTTCCTCTGGCCTAAACAGATTTTAAGAATTTCTTTTACAACCTAAAATGCATTTTTGGATATCTTTGAAAAAAATGGCACATACTTTATTTTTTCCATCTTTCATGACCACATTTTCTCTTAAACAACAGCCATTTTGGTTATTCTATCCAAACATTTTGTTTTTGGAAAATGGATGATTGGCAGCATCATAACAAAATACACAAATTGGATGCTGATGTACATGTCAATACAATTTAATGCTTTTTTGTTGTCTAGTCTTAGTGTATTTTACATCTGTGGATAAATTACACATTTTTTAAATTTGGCAGAACTTTGTATTTTAATATTTGGAGGTGGAGGGATATTTTTTTTATGGTTAGGAATTTCTTTTTTTTTTGAAATTCACAATTGTACATTCCTCAGAAATTTTTAAGATGCATGGTTATATACAGATGGTCAAAACACTGAAACCTGTAGATCCACAAAAAAGTCATATGTCTGCCATATCAGCCCAAAAGCATGGAAGAAAACTGTACGAGCCATAAATAAACATTACATATGTAATGTAAGAAGCAACAAGAGAAACATTAACATTATTTAATTTCAATACAAAAATGTGGTATATTTTTTATGTTAACAGAAGGTTTTATAGTCTGCAATTAAGTTATGTGAATTAGACTTTTTTAATAGGCAAATGTTTAATACCAAATTGGTATCTGCAAGAACACAATACGTTGGTGCAGTTGTTGAGAAACATAACTTAGTATACAGTTGTGATATTACTGTCAACAAAGTTAATACATTCAAATGTATATAAAGCAAATGTAAAGTATTCTGAAATGTACATATTTAGCACAAAAACTGACTGAACATTATGCTTCAGATTTGTGTAATATTTCCTTTTAAACTAAATCTTTAATATACTCACCAGCTGTATGAAAGATACAACACTTATGATGTAAAATACACTGGAAAACGTAATGAAGTATCCCAGGTTTGGATCGGTGCAACTTCCCCCACTGTACTGCACCTAGAAAATAACTATCGTTTTTATAGCTAATTTCGGAAAATATTGTATTTTCACTCAAAATGCATAATGAATTTTTGCAACAAGTTATTTAATTTGCAAACTATATGAAAATGAAATCTCTTCGTTTTTGAAATATCACAGAACTCCTACTTCTTTATCAAATGTGCATAGGGTTGGTCCATTTACTAAGTGTATCTACATGAAATGTGAAAAATCTTTAGTAGTATGTACAAGTCTTTTGTAAACAAAAAATCAGGTATGTTACAAAATTATTTGTAATCAAGATGTCAGTGAACTGTTAAACTCAGTCTGACTCAGACACTGATAAGTCAAAGTTCAAGGTGATGTTTGTTTACAAAATAAAAATATTTTGTAGATCGTGCAGTTTGCATATCCTCTAGAACCTCCAAAATGCATATCTATGGGTGTTTTTAAGTATCCCTGTATACCGTACTTGGTATTTACTTTCCTCTACAATAAACTGTCACTAAATCAGCAATGTAGGATCAAATGAATAGTTGATAACTGACATCAAATACATAATACCATGTTGAATGGCACTCTATAAAAGGTAGTAGCATGCGCACTTCGACTTCCATCCATCATACTAGAAGGGTTAAGCAGGAAAGCAGAAGAAATAAAAAAAGCTAATTAATTATAACAAAACTAATAAGTTATAATTTCTAAAAAATCAACTCACTAATTGTTAGTAAATTTACCTCAAACTTGCTTATTTTTATTTTTTCATTTAATTTTCTGAGCATATATCTTTAAAAAGCAATTCATAAATAATATTAAAGTGTTTGCAAATGAGAAGAAAAATGCATAACATTTCTGAATAAATATTATAAAACAAGAGCTTAATAGTGGATAAAAGCCCAACATAACCCAAGGACCATTTTTAAATAAAAGGAAAATGACTATTAAACATCCAAAGGTAGAGAAATCTCGTGTTAAAACATGGACTTATTGACCAAAGAAAGTAAAACTTAATTTAAAATTAAATAATTTGCAGTAAGCTTAACAAGAAACAAAACTCAGACATTGAATCATTAAAAATAAACATAAAGATAAAACATACAAATTATTCTGACCTTACTGCAGAATAGTAACTGTAATGTTTTTCCTTTGACAAAAAAAAAGTCTTCTGTACTTCATTGGTAGAATAGAAATCAAAAATGTTATTTTTACAATACCAAACAACATCATGCAATAAATCCTTTATTCTACACAAAGAATAATCAGTGTTAAGACCAGGATTCTTAAAAACAAAACAGGGTATTATTTCAACTTTCACATGCAAAACAAAATATACACACAATACAAGAATTACAGGTCAAGACATTTACAAACAACACATTTAAACTACAAATAACTTCTAAGTAACATAGTTCCGACACAAAACTTCTAATTCAACAATGTAACCTCCTGCACAACTTCAACAATATAACCTTAACTTTGAAAATTAATCACAAAAATCCATTTTATTATATACTTACAAACTCTAATTAAATATAACTCATAACAGTTCTAATTGAGTTTCAAGCAATACCCAATCTATTCTCTAGATTCTCAAGCATCTGGTATATGTCTTCAGTTTTATTTTTCTGTATACTTTATTTGTTACAATATGATACAATCACAATTACATACAGTATAGTTATTGGCTATTGACAAAACTTCAGTTCCACATAGTGTCTATCATTGTGCCTCACAATCCTCGGACTGATAATGCCCCGAAAGGAATTATATTACAGATTTTGAGAAGATTGTAAATATTACTTAAATAACCAAAAGTGTTAAAAGTCTGATACACACACAAAAAAAAACACTTTATACCTCACAAAAACAAACTCCTTCATAGCAATCACCATGTCCTGAACAATTGTCCAAACATTTGTCTTCCATCAAATCCCAAAGTTTCAGTCTATTTAAAGGAGAAAGATGAGTAACCATGCTAGGAGGTGGATCATCGCAGTCCAACATACTTGATATCTCTTGATAAAATCACACGCAAGACGTTTCAGCAGTATTCTATGAAAATAAATTAATAAACATGAATGTTTTTTATGAAAATTATAAGCCTGCAAATATTCTAATGAATTCTTCTCTACAACTGTTACAATATGCATACGGATAACCACTTGAATAATTGCAAATAAAAATGCTTAATTCTTAAGAACTAATTTATAATATAGCAATTAAAGTCCTTCATAAATGTTTTTGGTCACAAGTTCATGCCTAACAATGATTTTGTTATCTTTGGGATATCATAACATCAACAACAAAAAAATCAAATACTATAAATAGCTTCTTAACTAAAAATAATATAATAATTAGGCTTAAGGATGAGCAAATAGTTTATCATCAACCCATGGAATAGGATATGACTAGTAAATATCAGGTAAGTCAACAGTGGATATCATAATATCCTTAAAGATGTTTCACATTCTCTAATCAAATCCCAACTTATTCCTGAAGAAAGGTCTCCTTTTCAAATATGTACTAATTAGCAGGTTTCCTGAACCTAATTTATCTGCTTTTTTAAATTCTTAATTTTTAGTAACATGTTTATAACATCAAATTTTATTCGTAATACTAAAATATTACTTAAAACAAAAATAATTGAGAATGCTTAATTAATAAGAACCAGACTCTCTTAACGAGTAAGTAAAAACTTGGAAAAGAAGTATAAATAATAAAGAGGAAAAATGATGTACTTAGGATTATAACTTGTTTTTCATGAGAGAGAAACACAGACAGTGTGTAGAAAAAGAAGAGCATATGTGTTGTTATTAATACAAGATCATTATGTGAAAAACAACTAACAAAGTCTTTGGGTCCATTTACAAAAAGCCCTCAACAGAAAGTTTATTTTTCACACTATAACTTTGCTTCAGTTTATTCCTCTTCCTGAAAAAAAATTGTTAACATGATTAAGGTGATGAAACAATAAAGAATGGAATGCAAATATAAGCTACAAATAAATTACTTGATTTAAGTAATTAAAACAAAACAAACACTTTTGTTTTTAAAATTTTAATTCAAACTGGGCAAGGGCTAGTTGTGTATAGCTGTACCTGATTTTGAACAAATAAACTAGAGGGAAGGCAGCTAGTCAAGAGCAGTCACTACCCACTCTTGGGCAAGTGTTATCTATCCATAGAGTGGTTATGAATTCACATCACTATTATGATGTATTCACAGCCCCAGACCACATCCTTGTGACAACAGGACATGAATCAAACTCTCTGATTCACAGTCCATACATGCTAGTGGTGGCCAAGCCAGTCCATAAAGAAAATAATGTAGAATAAATAGAGTAGGTGCAACTTGATTCACACAATGACTGAGAGATATACGTGAATGATAAAATGCAAAGATTCAAGTGAATAGTTAAGTATTATTAATACACATATTAGTGTATTACTACTACCAGCCAGTAAATGTAATGTAAGCTCTTCTGTATCATTGTTAGTTATACAAATAACTTTAAAATTGAATTAAAACTTGACAATTTGCAGAATGGCTTCCTTGAGATGTGTTGCTAATTTAACTTTGTTAAAATAATTTTTGGATACACAAGGTGATACAAAATATTGTATGCATTTTTTGAAGTTATGTATCTTGCGTACTTCCTGCATAATCTTTTCCTCTAAGTCTTTCAGCATTCAAGGTTTAGCACCATACACTTTGTCCTTCAGCACTATAAAATGATAATGAACTTAATATAAACCAAAGACAACATAATAAAATTGATATTTAAAATTATGTATACATTTTAAATCAGTGATTGGATTTTGCCTGATAGAAGAAATATTCTCAACACATTTGAGTACTATGACCACAGGCATTATCCATTATGACTTAAGGAATGACAACATATGCAAAACTTTAAGTTTCAATTTTATTATGTTGTTTTGGGTTTATATTTATTTATATATACAGTATGGAAATAAAATGAATCATTCTTGTACTTTCAGTTTGTTATTTGGTAAGTAAATAAGTAATGTCAATCCAGTGGTTTATTTATGCTTTGAACTTGGTAATTGTGTATTCATAATACATAATTACTACTCTCCTGTTAACTCATTGCTGTTTTATTAAAAATGCAACTTTGAAAAATCTCAATTCAAACTTGCTATAAATAGCAGCAAAATATAATTTTTATAAATCTAACATATAAGCATATTTGTGAAAACATGCAGCATGTATATTATCAATTTTGAACAACTGAGAGTTTTGGTCAGTCATGGGTATCAAAAGTAAACTTTTGGAAAGGAATCAAGCTTGCCAGTAATACACCTGCTAGAAACCAGGGAGATTCAGGAGCATACATCCCTAAGAAATTGCACTGGAGATTTGGGGAGGAGAGGGGGAATCTCAGCTTCTTTGATTCTAATGCCCATATCAGTAAATTCCATTATGCTTTATAAACAATTTCAGCACATTGTACTTAAAATTAAATTTATTTCTCAGACGTAGTATATTGCTCATACTCTGTAAATTTCATTTGACTAGTGTACATGTTTCAATAATTTTCATTCTTACATTTTCATTTTATTATATTAAAGTGAACCTATTTTTTTTATGAAATATTTAAAACATATTTGTTTAACATTTATGTAATATATTTTTAGATAAAATCCTATAACACAACCATACAGGATTTAAGGGATTAGTATAAAATCATGGCATTACTTAAGCTAATAAGTTTGTGTAGAGAAAAGAAAAAACAGCAACCTACCATCCTACAAAAACAAAATAAAACTCTTCATTTATATGAAAAATACCCTTGTGAACAGAGCATAAAGTATAAAATACATTCATGAATAACAATTCTACACTATTTTTCCATTATCTTAAAGTTAAAAAAGTAAGAGAAGGGTCCCTCCTCTGTAGAAATCAACTTTTAAATTAGTGGTCCAAGGCTTGTTAATTCATGATACACCACAACTACTTCTTCAGCTACTTTTTGATGTTATGCCAGTTTACAAGTTATTTTGTAAATAAATTCCTGAAATGAACACACCTGGATGTAAAACAGGTGTTTGCCTTCTGTAGAAGTCTACTTCTAAATTAGTAGGCCAATGCTCATTAACATATACCCCAGCTACTTATTTGAAATGAACTTAGATGTTATGCAATTTACACAAGTTCTTTGTAAACAAATTGGGTCTTGGAACGCAAGTATAAACAAGAAAAGTAGCCTTTGTTGTGGATTCCCCCTCTATTGATACAAAGTTTTAAGTTAATACTATGATGACATTTTACCCTTTTTAAATAAAAACAAGTTATGTTTAATCTACAGTTTGATTTAGTAAGTATGAAGTGACTTTAGCTATAATTTAAGCTTATTCAGTTACTTGTAAGTAATAGAACAGGCTAATTAAATTCGATTATTACACAAATATAATCTAAAGACTAGTTATTTATCACTTCCTATTTTAGTGAGAAGGCAGTAATAATACAGCATAATACATTTAACATTAAGTTTAAAAATGTTGTCAATATACTATTTGTATTTAGTTTTGATTATTTGTTCCAAGACTTCAATTGTTAAGAGTAATTTAGGTTTTAAGCACTCACAGTTTGTAAGGTGCAACAACTGGATTTTATTTGAAAATTGGGACTGGCATGCACATATAAGGAAACTAGTAATGAATATGTACAACTTGTGTGTAAAGTTAATATGCTCGAGAAAAAATTGGAGGTTATCCTAAATAGGGTAGAGCCAATGGGTAACTGTCAGACAGTGGCAGCAGGATTTAAAAAGGAATTTAAGTTTTTGCATGCAAATGATACAGTGGCTAATAATGACTTTCACGAAGTTAAAAACAGTATTAACATGGCTAGCATTAGTGGGCTTAATTATATTGAGCAGGTTCTATTAAACAACAGAGTTAAGACTTTAGTTTGTATTGATGAGGATCTGAGAGAGAGAAAACAATAACAAAAGGAAGAGAAAGGAATGGGAATGAAAATTGAATCTAGGTAATAAATACAAGGGTAAAAAAGACAGTGGAAAAAAAATTAATCAGAAAAAACAAGACAGCTTTTGTATGCAAAGGATACAGTGTTATTGAAGAAAAAGATTTTGGTATTCTGGCTGATTAGTCTCTTAAGCCATCCAAGCAATGTTTCTGTTGCTAGTGGTAAGGCAAATAGGATTTTAGGTTGTATTTTCAGAAATATTTTGAATATAAGTCTAAAGAGGTTACAATGTCATTGTATTGGTCATTGGTTATACCACACACCATAAGGAATGTCGTGAACTCCTGTCAATTAAATATCACCATGTGCTATTTGTAACAAAAGGAAAATCAGTTGATATTAAACATGAGTGGATCGCTCTGAATCATGTTTATGTGACGAAGTGTTAATCTCGTAAAATAACCCAATAAAGACATCGCCATTAAAAGTTTTGATAAATGAACGTGCTTTTCCCACATATTTAAAGAAACTGTGAAAAAAAAGAGGGGGCTAGTAAAATACAGTTTTTAACTGGCTGAAGTTTCATACAATGCAATTTTAATTATGATTTTATTGTTTTGATTTAGCCACGTCACTAAGTTATTGGTGGTTACTTGTTTTCCCAGATGTATAATATTCTAAATTTACATAAAGTCTCTTACATTAGTTTTATATATAAATTCTGATCACTATTATAAGTGTGAAGGGGACTAATAGTAAAACGTAATTGAAAACTATTTTCCCCGATAATTCTTTGGGGGAAGTACCGATAATAAATGTAGATTGATCTTGTTTGTTGATAAAACTAGTACAAAGAGTTTCAAACCTTAATAAATCGGGGTATATATTAACTTCTTTTTACGTGGCAACGTGCTTTAAATAACATGATAAACTAAAAGTTATGTAATGTTTTAATTCTACACTGTAAAATCTTGGCTAACTGTCGGCAAATACGAACATCTGATAAGAGGAAACTACAACCAGTTTTATTATTAAATAAACTTTAATCCTGTTAAAAATACACGTAGATATTTTCTATTAAAATATGCAAAAACAAATGCTTACCCTTACCAAAACAGTAAAACAAGTTTCACAAACAAAGTGACTGTAGGATTATTATTGAGTGACTAAACTCCCGCAAAGGTTGACGGGATAGAACGAACTGAATTACATTGACCTGGTATGTACTGACAAAAGAACTGGTTAAGGAAATCATATGTTCTTTCATAGTATTATATATTACTATAAACGCATTTGAAAATAAGTAACATGGAAGTTTAATTTTGTTTCAAAGTGTCGTAGCTTAGTGTAAATGAATTTGAAAATAAGTACGTCACAAAAGTTTTCTGAAAAACTGTTGTTTTTTATTCATGCAAATACTCTGTCAGGCTTTATGAAACATGCTTTGCAAATATTTAAATAAGTTTAACAAAACAAAACTCTTCGATAGTATTTTGGCTAATGAAAATACAAGAAATGTAAATTTGAATGTAGTGTCATTGTAAATTTTTTTTATTGATCCATTGCATATAGGCCCAAAGTAGCTCAGCAGTAACTAGCTGCTGGTAACGTTAAAAACTGGGTTTCAATACCTGTGGTGGTCACAGAACAGATAGCCCAGCCCATTGTGTGGCTTTGCACTTAACAACAAACAAACAAATAAAAACAACCTCATGCATATGCACTTTGTCTTACTATAGCAGCCTCTGAAAGTTATATTCCTGATCTACCAAAGTGAACGGAATGTTAAAACTATTTCTGTTTTTTCATGGTTTCAAAATAAAGAATAATGTGGTCTTTTACTATAAGAGTTTTAAAAGTAGTATCAAATCAATTACAAAACCCAGAAATAATAGAGTTATCTTTTAATATTATGTGTTGTGATGAATTTAATGACAAAATGGACAAAGGAAGAATTTTTTCTTACCGTTATAAGGTATATATATATATTGTTACGACAGCGAAAGTCACGTGACTCTAGTAACACGTCATGAGCTTCTAGAAAATACATGTCCCTTCGTGAAACCTCGAGTGTTTACTAGATTTACGGTATTCTGTATATAAGACCGCCAACAAGTGACGGCAACAATGTAGTTGAATTGCAGACAGAGATAGAGACGGACAGTTGGGT